CCATTATAGAAACAAGATTTTCTTTGTATACAGAAAAATTTACTAAATGATTCTAGAGAAAACAACTTATTATATTACAATAAAAACAATAACAATAATGATCATCATTGTTAATATCATTCATGTCATTATATTTTTGCTAATTGTTTTCACAATCTAAATGGCCATCAAATGTATGTTTGGGCTGTCTAAATGCAGCTTTACATTTCTTACTTGAAAAGGAATGGCTGTGTTGAGTAAAAATCCAAACAATATATAAAATAAGTTTCATTAACTGTAAATACTGTTGTTGGGTATCGTTCTTTGGAGACCCACCAACTGGTGCCATTATCAGTAGTAGACCCGATAAAAAGGTTGAAAAGTATAAATATTAAATAGAAGTATTTCAGTCAAAACAATTATTTGTCTTTATCTACATAGAAATGAAAACCAGCACAAAAAGAAAGAAATGGGAAAATGAAGGCCACTCCTTCAAACTATCTGGAAAAATCTGAGTCAACCACACACTTCAACATGCACGAACATGCAGACGCACTAAACCCACGAATGCTAAACCACTAAACCAAGAACATAACAGAAATCTCTGGCTTTGTAACACAAGCAGACGGTGGTAGACAGTGACAGAAGGTTAGAGAGGATAGTGCATTAAGTTCTGAGGTAACAAAATCCCTGCAGGCCCAAGATCTTCATCACACATATCAAATGACAGACCGCTGCAGATCCAGCTCACAAATTCGACTTTTGTCAACACATTTGAGCCATTAGAAAAGAAGATATCTTAACATCATTGGGTAGTAAATACCTTTGAGGGTAACGGTAAAGTCTTAGTTGCAATTGTCAATACTGTTGCAGCAATGTTGACACTTTTTGTGTTATTGATGAAAATGACAACAACAAAAAAACGATAAAAGTGTGCCATTTATGTTTTTTATCATTCGCACAGTAAAGTTGGGGTACAGCTTTATGTGGTCTAGATAATTTGTGATTTTTTACGTTTCAGAATAACATGGGCAGAAAATGCTCACCAACATCTCAAAGTATGGATTCTCATAACTAACTGGTTAACCATAAACCGACAGTAAGAATTTTGACAGAATAATACTATCGGTAAAACGTTTTTTTTTTTTTTTTTTTTTGCATAAAATTGTTATGCTATACAACACACTATACATATAAAATGTAGTTTTTTGAAAAAAAGAAAAAATAAAGAAAAAAAAATTCACGTATAACAGGGCCTGAATTTCGTTTTGGAAAATGGGGGGGAAATCCCCCCTTAGATGATTCTCATGGGGGGGATTTTTTTTGTTTGAGGGGGAGAAAGGGAAAATCATTTTTTCCAAACAAAATTATTACATTTATCTTGCCTAAATGTTTGCGCTCATTGCATTTTTACAATGGGGTTGTAAATTTACACAACACAAGGAAGCTTGATTTAAATTGTTTAATTAAATTGAAAAAAGTAGCACAAATAAATACAATAGAATAAAGATACAAATAAAGACAAATAAAGAGAAAAGTTTTTGAATAGGTCTAACACTAGTATTCATATACAGAAACTGAATAAAGTCACTTTCAAATGGAATTCACAACAAAGTCACAATCAAATGGAAAATAACACTGGGTAGTATTTTAGTCCTGAATAAATTAAATACAGGCTATTAATCGTGATTCCTTTAACTTAAACCTGTCTTTTGTTGTTTTGACAACAAAATTAATGACACATGGCTGCCGTCACTTTAAGAGCTAGTGCACGGATCCTGTGAAGTGTGTTCATTATACTGGCGTGCGTTTTATGCTTATTATAGAGTATACTCACGAAGACCGCAATATAATCCGCGAAAAATAACTTTTGTTACTGGTCAGCTGTTTTTGAGGCGGATTTTCTATGAATGTGCGCATAGAAAATAATCTCAGAGAGCGCACGAGCACTGATTAGTTTAAAATCGCTTGAATGTTTAAACTGGTAAGACTTAAAGACGTGCAAATGGTAAACTTCAGTCACGATGCACTGCTGGCTCGATTGTGCAAGTGAATATTCCGTCATGTCCCGGACCCGACTCCTAAACGCGAGTGTGTATTATCGCCGCAGCGCTTGATGCTTGCCTTGCGCAACACATTATGAGAGAAGAGATAGAAGACGCGGCACCGCTGAACACTCACGCTGTTTGTGAAATTGCGTCTGGCAGAGAGTTGTTAAAATAATGATTTGATTTTATAATCTGTGTGGATTACGATTGCGGGAATATCCCGCATTATAAATGGGAGACCTGCGGGAATGATTAGAATTATGCGCAATTCCCGCAATCCCGCGCCGAAATTCGAGCCCTGTATAAGTTGCATTGTATTTTACATTCATGTAAAATACCAGTAACTAAAGCGAAATGTTTACAAACATTATAAACACTATAAACATAGCTATAGGCTATTTTAGTTCCTCTCACTCCACAACAAACATTTTCAATTTAACTGTATTCAGAACAGAACAAGAATGAAAAATAAAAGTTGCTAATACAAACGTCAAGCCAAAATTAATTCATTTAAAAGCGAAACTGAAACAAGCGTTGTTGGGCTCACATAGACAACCTCACTCATTCGACATTGCTTCCTTATAACAACTTAAAAATACTCACTTTATGGTCATACTGAAAAAAGTACTTTTATTTATGTACACGTACACACACACACAATGAAAACAAAACATTGTTTTCTTTTTTTTACAAAAAGCACAAAGTCAACAAATTTAGTCTTAATGTTTAAATCTCTATATCGCAAATACCATTTTTACCATGCTTAATATCGATCTAGCTCACTGCAGTGTGCAACAAGTATCTCATAGTAGCCGCATAGCAGCAAATGCACAGAGTAGCATTATAACAACTTTCAACACACTCAAATGTATCTAATATGATAAAACAGTGCTACTTATGCATACGCATTAATAAACATTTAATACATTAGCTCATCCATGAACATGATTTCTGCCCGAGTCCCATCGGATTCTTTTCCACTGGCTGTAGAGGTAAAGACAACAAGTCCCATGTTTCCACTAAATCACGGCATCATCAAGCTACGCCTTTGTTTTGAATAAAGCGACCTCTAGCAGCGAAAATTACATATTGTGCCTTTAATCTGTTAATTACTTAAATTAAACATTTATTTCAAATATATAATTTAATTTAATTCTAATTTAACAATCTTGTCGGTTAAGGGTTAATGATCAGTTCACAAGGTTGGTTGTCGTTTAGGGAAAACCCCCGAAATTATCATCCCCATCTCAAAGACATCCTAACAGCTCTGACAGAAACAGAACAAGGCAGAAGTCTAATGAATCATACTTTTCATAATCGCATCCGTTTGTAGAGACGCAAGGTTGTAATTAAGTGTGTGTACATTCAAACATGGACAAAGACCATAAGCGTGACACAGCTGTAGTTCAAGCAGGCTTAAGTGGAGGGAGCAACTCCACACTCTCGCCTTAGATAAAATTTTCAAGCCGCAAAACCATTGTCACTTGGCTCTTTCTCCATAGTTAGGACATAATCTCCTCAGCTTCTTGTAGGTCTAAGACTTCTCTGCTGATCCAATGTTTTTCTCAAACTTTATAGAAATAGTTCACCTGAAATATTTACTTGCCTTCGTGCAGTTTCAAATCTGCATGCTGCTTTTAATCCCTTAGAACAAAGAAGAAATTGATGAATCTTCTCACTCATTTTGTCCATTAAACAAATATTCAAAGTGACCAAGTCTTGTCAAGCCTCAAAAGGGAGTATAAAAGAACCATAAAAGTCAATTGTTCCGTGAGAAACAGACTAAAATTTTAGTTTGTATTATTAGCTGGTAACCTCTTTCAAGTGAAAACCAAATCAGTCAAATGTGAGAACAAATCAGTATGAATTTTAGACTGAATCAAATGGTTCACTGACAATTACAGACTCATAAGATGTGTTCACAATCCGATACTCAAGTTTTTGCCTTTTTTGTGTCCTTTTTTGGAGCTTGACAAGCTTCTTGATCATTATGAACAGTCATTATATGGAAGAAAAAATAACAGCATTCAGGTTTGGAATGGCATGAGTAAATAGTAAAAATAACTTTTGAATAGAAGTTAAACTGTCCCTTTAAAAAGCTTCAGATGTAGAAGTCAGAATCTAATATTTCCATACAGAATCTGAACTTAATACAGATCAAAGCAACATATTAAAATGTACAGATTTGGTCATTAAATATTTAAACTAAACTAAACATCCTTCCTTGGACACTTCCAATAACCAACTTTTCCTATAAACCATTCAAGGCTTACACAAAATTTGTCACGTAAATTTGTCTCCTCACTAAATGCAAACTACTAAAAACATCACAGCCAAACAGAAAATATTTGATGATTAAAATACAGCAATGTGGAGTGAGATATCACAGCAGTTGTGTGGAAATTGAAAATGTACACTACAGTTCAAAAGTGTTGGGTCAGTAAGATTTTTGAAAGAAATCATTGCTTTGATTTACTTTGAAGTAAATGTTTTGAATTGTAAAAAAAAAAAAAAAAAAAATCTTGACCACTAAATCAGCATAATAAAATGATTTCTTATGGATCATGTGACACTGAATGCATGAGTAATGGCTGCTGAAAATTCCGATTTGCCATTACTGTAATAAAAAAATATTTAAATAGAAAACTGTTATTTAAAATTGCAATAATACTCAGTCACAATATTATGGTCTTTACTGTTTTTCTTTAATCAAATAAACAGCCTTGGTGAGCATAGGACACTTAAAAAAAAATCTTACAGACCCCAAACATTTGAACGGTTGTGTACATCAACATCTCGACAGGACTAAAAGTCTAGCAAGAACATAGAAACAGGATGTTTTTTGTCATAATACTCTCACCTTATAGTTACTAGATTTTGACTAGCCATCTAAAAATGAAATGAATATAAAATGCAATGGATATAGAATCAATAATTCCATTTAAGCACAGTGTAGTTTTACAGATCTCTCACCTTATGAAGAGGCAAGACCATAAATGCACCACCTCCGCTGGCTTCCACGATTATGGCAACAAATTTGGGGTTAACCGCGCAGAAGGCGCTGTCCCACGTGACCCTGGACACCCTGATGTCATCGTAGCACTGGTCATTCTTCACCGCCTGGCCGAACACATGCCGGAACTTACTCTGTCGTACAACCCGTCTGAACATATCTGCAGAGAAGAACAGGACAAGAATGATGAATAAAGCAAATCACATGACCTGGACGCTTCAGTGCTTTCACTGAACAGATATGAGCCATGTACAGGAAACACCATCCGAACTGGTTAAGATGCCATTCATTTGTTAATGACAAGTAGATGTCAGTGTAAATGTCAGTCTTACACTGTTTAAAGTGTGTCTTAAATCCACTGGCTAGTTTAAATATAATCCTAAAACATGACAAGTGCTGCAGCGTTTGCATAAAGTTAATAATTACCCGAGCAGAACAGTGGCACAGACATAGTTAAAACTGCCATATTAAAATGATTTAAAAGTGTTTGGCATAAAGAATGATGAAATCCATCTCAAAAAGTGCTGTTGAAAAATCAAAGCGAGTTTAAAGTGGGACAAGCTCGATTTGACATCACACATACCAGATGGGTTCACTATCCCGAATGTGGAAAAAGCTAGGATAAATCCCCACTCAGAGTACAGTACTCACCCTATTTCACACAGAAACTCCACATAAGCGTCAACACATCACATTGGTTTCTATACTATGTTTCGGCTTGTCTTGCTTTAATTCTCAAACAAACCTGAATAACAAGAACATTCTGTCTTCATGCCATTTCCCAACTAAAACAAGAGAAACACTAGGTCTGGATTGAGACGAACTGTCAATGAAAAAGATAAGGAAAAAAGCTAAATACAAACCTCATTGCTCAGGGGATCAATAAACAATGTGCTTAAGTCTGTAATGTAGTTCACACCCAAATAAGCACATTTAGACCTACATTTTAATTAAATGGCTTCATAATCTTGGTGCAAAAAGTTTTGGCAGGAGAGTTAAGACTGTGCTTGATTCTAGTAGCAACTTGGCTGACTAACAGTGGTAGTCTTTCCCCTTTTGTCAATGGATAAAAAGACCAAAACGCTAGTTTTATTTATTTATTTTTAATTAAACATTTAATGCAGGTGTGTGTAACTATATTATGATAAATTAAACAAATTTGATTAAAAAAAAAACATTTTTTATTGTAGATGATACTTCAAGTGGACATGAAATAAATTCACCCTATCCATTTTCTAAAATCATGTTATAGATCCTAATCCTATTATGAACAATTCATCCAGGCATGCATTTCACTTTAAAAACAAATGTTGACCTTGTAATGTTTAATCAATTGTTATATCTGAACTTTCATCTGAAAACAGCATTTCTGTCTCTGGACTTGAGTGCAACGGCAACATCTCAAAATCCAATCATTATGCATAGAAGCATAAGTGTAGCTCCAGTAGCAGTCAGTAGTGAAGTGTGGAGGACAAGGTGCCCTGAGGCTGGTGTAACAGCAGTGGGAAATGACTCAGGAAGCAGTTCATGTTGGTGGGTGTGGCTGTTTGACTAAGGAAGAGTTTTGAACTGGTGCATGATAATAGAGTGTAAAGCATAAAAGGTTTTACACTAATCACTTGCTACAAATTCTCTCTCTCTCTCAACACCACTCACCTAACACCAGTATCTTAAAGGAGAACTCCGGCGCAAAATGAACCTTTGGTCTAATAAAACATTGGTACCTAGTCAACCGTTCTCTGAGATTTGTTTTCATGATAATCGAATGTAAAGAGTTTTATCTCTAAAAACTGTTTAGCGTATAACGCTAGTAATGGGGGCATATAATAAGTAAAAAGAAATCGCTAGTTAATACCACTAACAAGGCTCAAAATAGCCCCACACGAACATAATAACATAATGAGGGTCCCTACATGCAAAACGAAGCATTGAGAACTTTGTAAGTGTACAGACCGTTTAATAAGAAGATAAAGATAAAGACAGTCCACTTCGTGTATACAGACAGGAGCCATCTTTGGAAAACAGTCTCGACTAATCAAACCACGAACGACGTGCTAAGTGAGCTGAACTGTATGAAGTTCAGTGAACTTCTGAACTGTATGAATGGCGTCCGTGGTTTGATTAGTCGAGACTGTTTTCCAAAGATGGCTCCTGTCTGTATACACGAAGTGGACTGTCTTCATATCTTCTTATTAAACGGTCTGTACACTTACAAAGTTCTCAATGCTTCGTTTTGCATGTAGGGACCCTCATTATGTTACTGTGTTAGTGTGGGGCTATTTTGAGCCTTGTTAGTGGTATAAACTAGCGATTTCTTTTTACTTATTATATGCCCACATTACTAGCGTTATACGCTAAACAGTTTTTAGAGATAAAACTCTTTACATTTGATTATCATGAAAACAAATCTCAGAGAACGGTTGACTAGGTACCAATGTTCAATTAGACCAAAGGTTCATTTTGCGCCGGAGTTCTCCTTCAATACACCTGAAAATGTGTCTTAAAGTCACCATTCTGGTTTATGGAATATTGCCGTATTTATTAGAAAAGTATTTATCTGAGACACATCGAAAGAAAGGAGATGTAAACAATTGATCGGATTGAAAACTGAAACGGGAAACATCTGCGCATGTGCAATGACGTAGAAATGCCGTAGTGACGGATGACCATAGACTGTAAAAAAAATATGGACGTAGTATCCGTGACGTCACCCGTAGGTTTCTGAAGAGCGTTTTTGAAGCCTAAAGTGGGCGGGGGCCGGCCGTCGCCATCTTGGGAGCGCGTCACCTCTCGTCACTACCGGATAAAATAAAATGGGCAAAGAGGCGGGTCGTGGGTGGAGCAGAGGTGCTAATGCTATATGCTACTGGCCTCGCGCTAAAGTGACAGCTGATTGAAGAATTAAAGCCAATAGTCTGTTAAAGTTCATTTTTTTGCCTTTCGAAATATTATAATAGTTAAAAGACGTAACTAAAAGTGAGACTTTTTACTTTTCTTTTTTTATCAACTTTATTAATCCCAAAAGGGGCAATTAGTTAAGAGCATGTAGGCTATACAACAGTACATAACACAGATCACACACATTTCTCACAACATACAAGCAGTCAACTATGTGTATCGTCGTGATGCATTATTATTCTGCTAGTTAAAAATGTATTATCATGCAGACAGTTACTTACAGTATTGCTCTGAGCTTGTGCGTGTGACAGTGATTCATGCACATACATGTCAGTCAGCATGGCATCGCACGTCAAGTTCAAGTTCGTAAAAGAGCTTTATTCAGTCTGATATCATCTGATTTTGGCCGCCTCTCAATTTCTCAGATGGGTTAAACCAGCTTTTAAACCAGCAATTAAAGATTTTACCTCAGAAGTTCAAGTAAATGCACTAGAAATCCGCGCTCATTTAAGTGTGCATGGACGAAGAGAAAGCTCTGACACCTGCAGGATTTCATCTGACGGTACTTTTTATTTTACACTACAAAGTTAAATAAGCATATCTGTTCCGTGAGAGCAACAGTACCGCATAATGAGTGTGGTCTCTATATCTACAGACGTTTTTAAATCTAAACTCAAAAAAGCAATGAAATTGTCAGACATCCAGATTAGTGCATGCGAGGAAAACAACTGGAAATACAGCGCTGGTTGTTCTCTCCATCCTCGACAACGACGGAATCCAACGGCGTGCATGGGCGAAGGTATAATACGTGTATTAAATTGTATGAAATAATCCCGAAAAAAGCACAAACACAGCTGAGGGTGACGCTAACACACAGCAGACAAACGACTAGCAGTGAAAGCAGCGGCAATCCACCTGTCACTCAAGTGGCCACGCCCTTAATTATGCAGAACTTTAAGGCTTAATATAATTTCAACGGATGAGTTGTAAAAAAAATTCACCCCCCTCACAGTCGTCATGAAGGGCAAAATTAGCGATATAGACCAAAACAACTATTTGCCACCAGGCTGTAAACATGTTTTTTTCTACTGTGAAGTGAAGCATTTTAACATGGGGGAGATACAGATTTGACTCGCTTTTGCAGTCAGCCTCAAGCGGCCACTCGATGAACTGCAGTTTATTTCACTTCCGTGTTGGTTTCAAGAGAGAGACGGGGAGGTTGCCGCTTGCGGATGACGCACAGAACAAGCTGTTGTTCTCTTTCCACTTATCGTCTGTAAGCAGCCTATAGCAGTCCTTGCTTCGGACTCTCATCCACAGATGCCTTGTTTTGGGTGCGGAAGGTTTTTTTTACTGCTTGATAAATATAACCAGCACGGCGCAAATTTGCATGTGCTCGTTGTGTCCTGATCAGGGTTTGAAATAGATAAATATTAAAGGGATAATTTATCCAAAAATGAAAATTCTGTCATCATTTACAAGTTGTTCCAAATCCATATACATTTCTTTGTTCTGCTGAACACAAAGGAAGAGATTTAGTATATAGGTAACCAAACAGTTAACAAAACCAAAATTGACTTCCATACAATTTTCTTTCCATTCTATGGAAATCAATGGGGCCCCACAACTGTTTGGTTACCCATATTCTTTAAAATATCTTCCTTTGTGTTCAGCAGAACAGAGACATTTATACGGGTTTGGAACAACCTAGGGCGAGTAAATGACAGAATTAAAATTTTTGGCTGAATTACCCCTTTAAGTCTGCTTTTTTAAAACTAAGAAAAGAAACGATGGCAGGATGATAGCTAGTATATTCGTGCAGTGTGCACGTCAAAAGATCAAATCCGATTTTAAGGACATCTCTTCCCTGCTAATGTGTTTACCAGCACAAGGGCGGGACAACCTAAATCAAATCTCGCCTTATATTTTTTCTTATTCGAGAAGCGGTTTCACTAATGCGTCAGAATAAGGAACAAAAGACTATCACGACTTCCATTTCATGCCAACTTTAACTTCCTTACAGCATTGCTAATATATGTTAATATATAAATATTCGTATCCCTTATCTGATAGGTCCGTTGTTCGTATAACTGGCATTAATCTGCTGCGCTGCATGTCAAAACTTAACCACAGCTTCCTAAAAACATGCTATCAATCACTAGAGGAAAAAAGACACATCATGACTTTCTTGTTATAACTACATAGACCAGTAAGAATGAATCCAATGTAAAAGGACACCAAAGATGCTGTTTCAAAGTCATG